TGCTAACTGGTTAGCAAGATGCTTCCGACAAACCGGCCACAATCAAGCTTGCTTGTGAAACTTCCACCACAACATTCCCGCCCCCTTGATAAACAACCAATTACCTTCACTTTATTCATTCGTGTAAAGCCATGCACCACTCGGGAGAATTTGTAAATGCAACAGTTGGAACGGCCGTTTCCCTATAATTTTAAGGTGTGGAAGACCATAATCTTTATTAGGGTTGGCCATAGTTTGAACTTGAATGATTTTGGTTCTAATTCTGATTCCTCATTTCAACTCCAGCTCCTATCAAATATCCTATCCTTGAAATATCCTATGGGATATTTTTAACAGGTAAAACAAAAAAAAAAAACTAAATTAAAACATGTAAACAGCAGCAAAATGAATATCCATAAATTTTATGAGGTAGGAGCAAACACTCTGTGTACACAACTTCAGTTGATTCCTAATTGGCTAGGTGTAGACTTTTGTAACCATAGATAAGGATACAGTATTCCCTAAATTAGCGCAAAAAGCAACCAGAACCCTTAATATGTTTTTTTTTTTTAAAAGCTCAGTTTCATAACAGTGATGTTCTAAAGGTCTACCAATGCAGGCTGACATCAGTTAGTTAGAATAACCTGCATGGACTACTGTGTTAATATACTCAATCAAGGCTATTTTTGTTATAAAAACCCCAAAACAAAACAACTTTACCTAATTTATTGGATAATCATTTTAGCACTGCAACATGAATATTTTATGTTTTTAATCCAATTGTTAGAATTATTTTTGAATGATCGATGTATATGCTTGTTAAACTCTAATAATACCTACCTGTTAGGTGTCAAAACTAATGTTTTCCCAAGCAGTTTATCTAATTAGGGCAGTTCTTCTGTCAGGTTAAAAATCTTCATAGGCCTACTGGCCACACCATTACATCATACACATGTATGTAACAAAGATTTGGGAATAAAATGGGAGCACAGACATAATTCTTTGCAGAAAGCTCTGGTAGTTTGCATTGGATTGTCCTTGATCTAAAAATTGTGTGTATTATATTGATATGGCTGGATCCAGTGTTGTCTCTTCATTTACATACATGTGTATGATGTAATGGTGTGGCCAGTGTTGTGCCTGAACGCGTTCATTGAACGAAAGTTCATGAACTCGTTCATATTTTGGGCGAACGTGAACTGAACGTACTGTATTTGCGGCTGATGAACGTTATTGTGAACTCGTTCATTCTGGTGTCTGTGAACGGCACGCT